CAGGATGTTTGATATTCCTATTACTGTTAATGTACTAGACAGTTCTCTTCCAGTAGCATGGCTTTCAGACAGGTAGCTTCATAATTTAAAACACAGTCGTCGTCATATATATCAATACAATGAATATAACTTTACTATTTAAGGTTTGATTGCTAACAAGCTGTTCTTTGTTTCCACGTTTATGTGTATCAAAGCTGTTTAAAAGCTTGGTAGAAATCAAAATTTGAAATCGAGTACTGTAACAAAATTGAATAAGTATTACGAATCAAATTGAGGGTTTATTTTAATCTTATTGAAATGTAATTCTAAGTGAAAGGATAGCAATGCTAACATTTAAACCTTTGTCTGATTAAGTTTAAATTATATATGTCAGGAAATCTTTCACAAAATGAAGTTTTCAAGGATATTGTTCTTAATCATGCATTGCCATCTTTGCACGAAGGTTCACTTGAAATTTTGATTACAGTCCCTTTAGGCAAGGGTTTTACAATTTTAAAATTTATTTAAATTTTTGCTACATTTAGTATATCATTTCATTTATGAAAGCCAAAAAAATATGTATTCAAAATATTAAGATAAATAAAATTCTATTGTAATTAAAAACGCATTAAGAGCCATGGTTTTGGAAATTAAAATATTTTTTCTTTCTTTTTTTAAATCTTATTTTATATTTGTAGTGAGATGGTTCTGGAACTACCCTTAGAAAAATACAACTCTAGTTCCAGCAATCCAATTATTATCAACAATGAAGCCACAGGTTAAATATGGGTGCAGACTGCTATTTTTTTAAAATTCGAAATCCTTGGACTACAGGGTGTCTCTTTTTAGGGACAACTACAGGGTGTCTCTTTTTAGGGACAGCTACAGGGTGTCTCTTTTTAGGGACAACTACAGGGTGTCTCTTTTTAGGGACAACTACAGGGTGTCTCTTTTTAGGAACAACTACAGGGTGTCTCTTTTTAGGGACAACTGCAGGGTGATTCTAGTTATATGCCTTTAAAATAATTGTCATTTCCAAAGATTTTCAAAAAATGGCATTTATATGGTTTTATTTTTTGCGTTTTAAACAATGGGATAAAATAAAAAGAGCATTTCAATGATAGAATTGGGGATTGAACAAAAATAAGATATAAAATTTTTTTTGAATTTTTTTTTGAAAATCCTAGGACAAGGCCTTGTACTTGTACTTGTTAGTCCGATAAAACTACGTTTAATGGGTAAAAAGTTAAAAATAAAAGGCTATTACAAATCTTCGGTAGAAGACGGAACATATTTTTGATTACTTTTCCTACTTTCAAAGGTTGGAACGGCAATTTAGAGAAAAATAATTTATAAAAGACCACCCCCCCCCCCCCCCCCAATATATTGCCAATATAAATAAGATCAATTTTTAGGACAATCAAACGACGCTTGGCAGGCTAAGAAGCCTAAACGCACTTTTTTTGAGACACTCTGAAATGTTTAACATATATACAAATTTTATCCCTCGAAAATTCGCAATTTGATTTTCCAAAAATCTCGCAACAATAGTGAACTGAGATGGTTTAAGCATAGGGGATAAGGCTGCAATTTGCAAAGAATTTTATAAAAAATATGACTATATGAGAAGCGGCTTTGCCACAAAATCATATTAGAATCAATTAGCACTTTGAGATTTCAAAAATTGTGTTACATCAAATAATCTAAGTTTGAAACAGTTAAGCTTTACACCAACCTTTGCAAAGAATATTATGATTTTTCGGCAAAGACTGAATAACTTTGCATAATTTTAGGGGTTCTTTAGGGGTTCTTTTGGAAACAAAGTCTTGTTGCCCACAATTTCGAAGTATTAAAAAAACTCATATTCATTAGCGACATCTTAAGTCTTAATATGAATGATCTAAAGTTGCAATTTAATTCTCTGTTGGCATGATGCTACAGGGTGTCCCACGAAACATGATAGTTGGTAAATAGTTTGGAATGTCTTTTTCCCTATACTGTAACAGATATTAAAGATTTCTTGCATTTTATTTCGTTTAATAAAATCTTTTGCTAAAATATATTTCACTTTGAAATCAATTTTACTACAGTGAAACCCTTAATAACGAATACATCGGAAGAATTTATCAAATGTCGTCTTGAGAATTTTTCAATAAGTTTCATACTATATTAGGTAAATTTCAGTATTTGCGAAAATAAATAAACAGCCATGAATATGCGGGAACAGGTTTTAAAGAGTTCCATATAATCATTTAATTAAAAAACTAAATATCTGCAACATTCCATTATCAGAAAGTGAAGAATACGACATTTTATGAATTCTTTCGATGAATTCGTTATTAAGGGTTTCACTGTATAATATGACTACCATTAAATATTCTTATGGAAGAAGACATTTTAAATTATTCACCAACTGTCTTGGGACACCCTGTAGTTTTGATACTAATTATATATTAAATAATTTATGTCCAGCACATCATCTTACATTTCATTCTGCACTAAAAACTAAAATCTTACGTATTTTTTTAGGCTATTATCGAGTTAATTATGACGACAACAACTGGTTCAAAATAGCGGCAGCAGTAATGGATGTAAGACTTTTATAATGATTACCAAAAATAAAACAACAACTTGTATAAAAGATGAATGTTGGATTGAAGTTCTGATTTTGATTATTCCACAGAACATGCATCGCAAACATTTTAATTGTATAAAAACTCGTTTAAAAGGATTTTTAAAATACTTCTCTAAAACTTTTAGATTCGCAACAATATTAAAAAAGCATGAAATTTCTTATAGGTCGTCTTTATATTCCTTCGCACTTCGGGATCTAAATATCTAAACAAATTTTTCTTTTGTTTGTAATTTAATAATAATGGTGTGGTGGGAGGGGTGGGATTTGCTGGCACCATTGCCTTAAGATTTAACCGATTAAAGGGTCTGTGAGCGTAATTTCAAGTGACCCTCCCACGCACCTCTGCCCCTTTAGTAAAAGTAAATTCAACCTATTTGAAGCATAAAGTCTGAATACGTTAACCTAGAGCTAGGTACAGTACAAACTGGGCCCTGAAAGGTTGACCCGGCTTGGAAATTCAAATGAACTACGGCTGCCCGTGCTCCCTTCAATGTCTGATTTACCGCTCTACCCTTGAAACCTATGTCTGATCAAAAATATGGAATATGACCTCATTTTTCTGACTCGAAAAGTATTAAGTTATGATAATTTCTCCATTGTTTCTTATAAGCAAGAAATTAACGAGTCACTTTTGCAAAGAAACTAAAAACTAACATAAACATAAACAAAAAATAGGGAGTTCTAATTCATACTTTATCATACTTTGTTTAGGGTACCGTTGTAAATCGGACATTACCATCTTTACATAGAAGATCATTTGAAACCACGCTTACAGTCCCTTTAAATCCAACAAGTTTAATTTTTAGAATATTGATTTGATTCGTCCGTTCAACAGGGTTCAGATCATTTGTGATCTTGTAGGTAAGCAATTCTTAAATAATATATTTTAAAGAAATTCTGCTATATCTTTGCAATCTGATGGTGTAAATCTTTGATATTTCAAACTTAGATTAATGGATCCAACAGAGCTTATAGTTTGAAATATCTAAGGTCTACGACATTGGGTTGCAAAGATATCTGTTAATATAAGGATTAGAAAATCAGAGTTGGTGGCAAAAGCTCAATCTATATATAAATGTGGCTTGTCTGTCTGTTTGTTTATATCCAATAAACGTCAAAACAGCTGAACCGATCGAGCCCAATTTTTTTGTGGCATCTAACGTGACCCCGGGGAAGGTTTGTGAATGATCCAAATTTTAAAAATTTGTGTTTATAAGTTTTTTATTTTTGTTCAAAATTTTAAAATCTTGAAAATCCGCGAAATTTGTTTTCCTTTGTTTTTTCAACGTTATAATGAGAACATGTTCACAGTGAAATAGAAGATGGGCGCGAAGCGCCCTAAAAGCCTAGATTTTTAAAAAAGACATAAATATCTTCTCTTAAGTCTTAACCCACATAGATCCAGACTGCTTTGAAAACCCGCATCAATTATGAAGACCGGGTCGACTTTAGAATGTCGTAACGCCTTGGCTTTTGATTTTACTTCACTTTCCATTATACTGTTATGCAGTTCTAGGCAGGAAAATTTAAGAACAAAGCAAGCACTTGTTTTAGCTTTAGATTAAAAGAATTAATTGGCAAAACTCTTCTACATTTTTGAATGAGAGCCTGCATCATGCATGCATCAAGTTAGCTGCATCAAGTAAGCACCCATGGACCCAGTGAAATAACATTTAAACCAACATAATCATTGAATAACAAATATAAATAATAAGTTCAGCATTAAAAATATTTAAAAAAAGAAACTTTTTAACAATAAAAAAGCAAGAAAAAACAGAAAAACTTTCAAAAATGTTCTTTCGAGCGGGATCCGATTCCATTTAGATTTGGTAAGGGACGGATCCAGAATATGCATAAAAATTATATGGATCCTATGAAAACAAAGATATGTAGTTTAAGGGGAATGAAATAATAAAAGAATTTTTTTTAGCTTTGGAGGGAAGTGGTCATGTGAGCTCTGATCTTCATGATGATATAACAGGAAACTGGGAGGTAAATCTAGTTTAATAATATTATAATATCCATGTAAACAGGGCAGATATAACAGTAAACTGGGAGGTAAATCTAGTTTAATATCATTATAATATCCATGTAAACAGGGTAGATATAACAGGAAACTGGGAGGTAAATCTAGTTTAATATTATTATAATATCCATGTAAACAGAGCAGATATAACAGTAAACTGGGAGGTAAATCTAGTTTGATATTATTATAATATCCATGTAAACAGGGCAGATATAACAGTAAACTGGGAGGTAAATCTAGTTTAATATCATTATAAATCCATGTAAAGAGGGCAGATATAACAGTAAACTAGGAGGTAAATCTAGTTTGATATTATTATAATATCCATGTAAACAGGGTAGATATAACAGTAAACTGGGAGGTAAATCTAGTTTAATATTATTATAATATCCATGTAAACAGGGTAGATATAACAGTAAACTGGGAGGTAAATCTAGTTTGATATTATTATAATATCCATGTAAACAGGGGAATCGACTCTTCATCGATTAGAGAGAGCTTAGTGTGTAAATCTGTTTATATGCTTTTGAATCAATCTAAACCAACTGACCCCTTACTCTGTGTTCAAACATTCGAAAGTAAATTTTAGTTTTCTCCCACTTCTAACAATTTATATATTTACTATTAGTATCATTATATATTCTGTCAATCATCTTGTAATAATATTATTGTAAAAAGTTTGCATGGACAGATTCACAATTGGGTATTCTTTATACTTCTAAGTAATAATAATGATAATATCACTGTCGTTAATTTTATCTCAAAATTAACTATTTAGCATAAATCAGCAATTATTCATCCTTGTCGAAAAAACAATATTAAGGCCATAATTGTATGTCACGTTATAAATTAAGTTTTTCAAACTTTTTCAAAAAAAATTCAATGCAAATTTTTTTCAACATTTTTTTTTAGGACGATGATCAAGTCGTGATTTGGGCAACTGAACAGTGTGGAACTAATTATAAGAATAGTAAACCTCTTCGCAGAATATAATTGGGGGGAAATATTCCCACAACCTCTAACTTTGGAGGTTTTAAAATAATTTCTCCTGAAACGCTTAATTTTGTATGTTTTTATTATATTTCATAAATAAATAATTACTTACTTACTTAAACTTGATAGTGTTCAGAAATAAAAAATAACCAGCAACATTTTTTTTGTGATTTGAGAATTATAAGGCTGGTTTTATGTTTGTTGTAGACCAGCAGGGTTACCCACAAAGGATGAGAATGATAAGACCTGAAACTCTGTAAACATGATGTTTCCAATGTTAAATTAAGTCCTCTGTCAAAATAAAATATTTTCATGGCCTGTTATTTAGTTGCAGGGAATCTTATAATATAAAGAAACATGCAGTGTTAACTCCGTACAGTCGTCTTTATAGAGGGGCACGCATGATTCGCAACAATACCATTAATAAACTTTATAAGATCAAGGAACAATATAAAATCCTTACTTTTCTATGAGGATTAATCTTGTCAATTGTTCTTAATTTCCAGCTATAACTTAAGCATTTTATATTCCTATTTTTTTGTTTCTAATTTTGATCTAAATGTTCATTATTTTGAAATACTTTCGGCAAACTTGATATTATGGTAAAAATGTTAATTCTAATGCATTCTGTCAACTCCTGTATGCCGAGTGCATTAGCGCCTGATCCAATCAGGGTTCAGTCATGTGTTTGTTTTCAATTCTGAACCAATAGAAATATTGTGACGGTAACATCTATCTTTCTGTCTTTCACACCAATTGGATAATGAGATCTCATTATCGAATTAGTGTGATGAATCCTTAAATCGGCGCTAACAATAAATGGAAATATTTATTTCTACTGAAACTATAGTGATCACATATAGCATGCTTTCTCCTTATATGTATAGTGTTTTCTTAAAGACTTTTTTGTCGGCATATACATTTTAAATAATAAAGTATAGAACGAAAGAATCTGTAATCTGTTAATTATGCAACAAATCTAGGCTTTACTTTTTTAATTGATTTTTATCTAGAAATGAAGCTTTATTATATTTTTTATAATCGAAAAATGTGCAACTATTTAGAGTGATGTAAATTTGAATGTTTAGATTAAATGTCCAACGTTAAGAGTATTTATCCTTAAGAAGAACATACATTTATCTTATCTACAGGGTGTCCCAAAAACATGGGAATTCAGTGACGAATTCGATATCGTCTTTTCAAATAATTCTTTGATTTAGTATAGTGATACCTACTGAGAAAGCTGTAATCTGTAAGAGTTTCGTCTGCTATGTTTACATTTTGTTTGTTTATGTTTTGACTGCATACGGTTGTACTTAGTAAAACAAGAAAATTGCAGTATACAAACAGAGTAAACTTGTCCTTAATCCGTATTCACTGTTCATCTTGCGGAGACATTATAGACACATCTTTACAGTCTTTTACCCTTTCATTAAATAAAGTCTAGCAGACAATAATATTATGGCTTTTGAAATTAGGTATTACAATGCTAATTTATAACAAAGACGATATCGAATTCGTCACTGAATTCACATGTTTTTTGGGACACCCTGTATAAATAGACATTTTATTTTAAAAATGTCACAATTATAGACCAAAACACGTTTGATTATAAATAGAATAAACCGAATACTGCTCACTCTGGTAAGTCAAGGGTGGCCATGAAAAAAAGGAAAGGGGTCACTGACAATAGAATCGGGAGGAGAAAAATTTAATGGGAAACGGAAAAAAAATAGGCAAAGGAGGATGAACATGTGTAAACATATACAGGGCGGAGAAGAAGGGGGGGGAGAAAGGTAGATGGATGGGGGGGAGAGAGGAAAATAAAGAGGGAAAGAAAGGTAGATGGATTAGGGGAGGGGGAGGGGGGGTGAGCGGAGCTGACATAAGCCTCTAATCCCGATCAAGAAGCCATAGCAATGCTTCTACATTTATCAGTTTTATTTTTATAAGTAAACTAGTCTTGCAGTCAACTTTAAACTCTACAGGAAAAGGTGGTTTACAGTGAGACATTTAACACTGTGGAATAGGAAGACGATATTTAAGCAATTTATTTAAGTACAGGGTTACCCACAAAATATGAGGCTTTAGAGACGACCTAAGGAATTGTTTACGTGTCTGTTTCCAATTTATGATTCCTTGAAACTATAAACTTGTTTCTTTCTTGTCGAAATCATTAAAAATTCCATAAAAAGACTTTACTAAAGGCAAAAGATTCACCGAAACCTAGGAATCGTCATGTTTAAAAAGTTTTATGTCGTCTTTACAGCTTTTTATCCTTTTTGTGGGTAACCCTGTATGTTTCTATACCAGCTTGCAAATAAATTAATGAAATGGGTTTTACAGTTTGAGGCCAATATGTTGTTTTCCTTTTTCGTCACAGTTAGACTGGGTCTCACAGCTCACTGTACAGTGTACATATTTGTTCTTGAAAAAATCATTTTATTTAGGTTCTAATAAATTGACTTGCAACAATGGTGTTTCACTAAATATAACAATCAAAGGAACGACATAAGACCGTTTTTGTTTTTCATATATTATGATGACGTTTGTATTAAAATGGTAATTAGGTGACCCAAGAAACATAGGAATTAAGAGACGACTTAAATATCGTCTTTGATTTCTAAAAATTGATAAATGACACAAAAAATGAACGTCTAATAGGCGTCAAACCTTATAGAAATCCAACTTATGGACCCGCTACGTATAGCAACATGGCGTATTTTCCGGGAGAACTTTTTTATATTTTTGAAAAATTAAACGTTTTTGTAAAATATTGTAGCTTATCATTATCATTATCATAATTTCTATTTTTTTTAACATAACCTAGACATTAAAGGAGCAAAATAGTTTAATACGTACATTTTAGGTTTGGAAAAAATCCTTAAAAGTATAAAAAAAGTTCTCCAGTAATGCTAATATGATTTCATAAAATTTCGTTTTACCATTTAAATAAAAGGATTTTATGAAAATTATATTCACTTTACACTGATAATTTAATTTGTCAAAAATATAAAAAATGTTCTCCCGGAAAATACGCCATGTTGCTATACTTAGCGGGTCCATACGTTGGATTTCTATAAGGTTTGACGCCCAATAAGCTTTACAAAATATGGTCTACCTTCTTTGTATTTGTGTATCTTTATAAAATTGACGAAGATATAAAACATTTAAACAGTTTTGTTGATTTTTATTAACTGGAATCTGGTCAAATTCCCTAATATCTCCGTCAATTCCCTAATATCTCCGTCAGTTTTGATGGTGAAAAAATGGTAGACCACAATTTGTAAATCCCGAGACTAGCAGTTTTTGATATTATATTTACGAAATAATCTCACTTAGAACAAAGACGATATAAAAGTAGTTATTTAATTCCCATGTTTATTGGGACACCCTGTACAGTCTAAAGCTGGGAAAAGTTCCTTTCACGAAACGGAGGTTTTCTAAAGTTAACGGAATAGTCTGTAAAAACGGAATGGCCATTAAAAAAAATAACCATTGAAAATGTTACCTGAGCTGAAAACTTTTGAATGGGATATCCTTAATCCCGATCGGATATTTAATCTGGAGATTAAAAATGAGAGGAGAACAAGCAATATTTAATCTCGAGATTAAGAAAAAGAGTGGATTAAGCATTATTCCCAATATCCACCATTCTAAAGTTTTCAGCTCTGAAAAGCTAAAAAAGGTAAATTTCGTTATTTTGTGATAAAAATTGCATTAAGTATTTTAAATTTTTTTCTAAAATTCTACGCGTTTTGATGTTTTTAAATGTCGTCTTTTGTGCTTATAAATAGTTACCAATTTTTTTCACCGATAATGCTGTAATAAACTGTTAATGGCTGTGCCGTTAACAATATTTTAACCGTTAACAAAAATTTTTGTCGCCCATAATGCTGTTAATACTGTAATATACTGTTAACGGCTGTGCCATAACGTTTTTAACCGTTAACAACATTGTGTTGTCACTTTGCGCCGTTAACCCGGTTAATTTTGTAAAAACAGTACCATTAACGGCTAGATCCGTTAATAATTGTTAACACCGTTAGTAAAATTGACCTCGTTAAAATGGAAAATGCCGGCAATGGAACGAACGTTCCATTCTTACCTTTAAAATCAACGGCTAACTGAAATTTTTATTTTTTAACAGCTGGAACTAACCGTTTACGAAACGGATAAAAGATGGAACGTGGCCAGCCCTAACATTGACACGAGTACAATTTTAGTATAAAATTATTTTTTTTTATTCCCTATATTTCCAAGTTAAAAAAGCAGGCAAAATTTGGGAAATGTGAGAGATTTTTATTTAGAGAATTATAGATACTTAAGTTTCTAAAATTTGAAGAAAAACAATTTCTTTAGATGTCCGGGAAATCATCAAGTGATATTTCAGATGACGGATCCGATCGAACTTTTCAGGTAAGCTTCTTAAAGGGAGTGTTTTTTTCGTGGGACACCCTGTATATTAAAGAAAATTGAAAAATAATTAGTTTAAATCGTTTTTAACAATTTTCTCCTTATAGACGCAACAGATAGAAGTAAGATTAGTAGCGATCTAAAGCGATTATTTTTCGCCGTGCGCCTATACCCCCCTTTCATTTTTCGTGAACACGATCCCTTTAAATGGACTTTTATTATTAGAAATTTTTCAATTTTCTTTAATATACAGGGTGTCCCACGAAACATAACAGTAGGTGAATAGCTTTGAATGTCTTTTTCCATATACTGTATTATATATTAAAGACTATTCGCGGTTTATTTCGCTAAAAAATATTTGACTCAAATATGTTTTGCTTTGATTTTAATTTTACCATAATATGACTGTCAGTGCCATAAAATATTGTTTAGTATTCTCTTTGGTATCAAACAACTTAACAAATTATGTAAGAAGACATTTTAAACTGTTTACCAACTGTCATCTTTCGTTGTACACCCTGTAGTTAAAGAAATGCCTTTACTCAGTAGTCAGTAAATCTAATTTTTATAAATTCTTAAAGATTTGTTGATGATCTTTTTTGCCACTCCTAATCGTATTCGTTTGAATCTGTAAGCTAAAAGGTTTTTAAGCTTGATTGATTTTTATTTTAGAGATTGATACTAAACACCCATTCAATGGAATTTGGAAAGGACTAAAATTTTCTAATTTTTTTATATCGTGTTATCATAGATTGTAAGGCTCTTGCTTCGATTATAGACCCCTTTTGGTTAAAGATGTAATTTTTTAATGAAAATTTCATAAATATATATTAGATTTTATTTTTAGAAAGTTGTTACACTGCAAAAGAAATACGGGAAAACTGGTTCCATTAAGGTAAAAAAATAATTGAACTTCTAAAGAACACGACAAATATCTTCTTATTGAAAGACGACATTATAAAATGACTTCCCAAACATATTGAATAATTTAGTGTGAAAATGGAGCCCTGTATATTGGGGATTTCGACGAATTTGGCGTCAAAACTGGATTAGGTAATTTTCTTGATAAATGATTTATCTGATATGTTACAGCGCGCGATAATCAGAAAACTCTGAAATAGGAAGACGACTTTTAGAATCAAGTTAAAATTTTAAAAAGTCCAGTGAGTATGAGGCACAGCAAGTGTAAACATACCCATTTCACTAACTATCAAATTAAATTAAGCATTGCTTTAATGTCGTCTTACTATTCCATTGTTTTCTGGTTTTCACTGTAGAACTTGCTGCAGACAGATTACGTTTTTAAGACAAACTGAATTAGTTCAAATAACATAAATAATCATTAGGTTTTTAGCTACAGCGAAACCCTTAATAACGAATACATCGGAAGAATTTATTAAATGTCGTCTTGACAATTTTTCAATGATTTTTATACTATATTACGTAAATCTCAGTATTTGCGAAAATAAATAAATAGCCATGAATATGCGGGAACAGTTTAAAAGAGCTCCATATAATCATTTAATTAAAAAACTAAATATCTGCAACATTCCATTATCAGAAACGAAAGAAGACGACATTTGATGAATTCTTTCGATGTATTCGTTATTAAGGGTTTTCACTGTAAGTGATCAACCTTTCTGTTGAATAAATAAGGTTTTGAAGATCAAATTGATATATTTCTCTCATTATTAATATATTTACAGCGAAACCGCAGACTATAATAATATATGTAATATATAATATAATATATAATATCTGACAGTGAAACCCCCAAAAGCATCAGACTTTAATGATGGCCTATTTATAGCTCATTAATTTTAATGATCTAAGGTTTGAACTTAAATTGTCTTCTGAAGATAACATAAATGATTTGTCAAAAGAACCTTAATTCAAAGAGAAAGACCAACTCAATTCTGTATCTTAAGTCTCATGCATTGTTGGTAACCCTGTATATATAAACCTTGGTCGGTGTTTATATCAGTACAACAAAGACGACTTTTCTATGAAGTTTTTATCTCTAACAATTTTTAAAAAAATTACAGGTTTACAAGTAAATATTGGAATAGTTTACAGTTTAAAATAGAAAGTCGTCTTCATTGTATTTATATATAAAACAACGACACTATGCTTTTAGGTCATATGGAAATTCCCAACGGTTCTACCTACGATGGAACATTTAATAAGGTCAATTAAAATTCAATCAATCAAATCAATCAATTAAGCTTTTGGGTTCACCAATCACCACTTAAACTTTATTTTTTTTTAAGGTTTATTGATATTGACAATATTTGCAACATGTTAAACTTACCAATGTTTACAACCTTATTTAAATGTTTGTCTTTAATGAAAAAAATTCCTATTTTGCAACAAAAATTATTTTTTTCTTGTTTAGGGATTGCCAAATGGGGTCGGAGTTATGAGGTTTCCCGACAGTTCAAGATATGAGGGGGAGTTTATGCAGGTTAAATTCACGCAAAATCTAGTAATCTAAAAAATCAAAGATTTACACCATCAGGTTGCCAAGATATAAGGATTTGAAAATTGTTAAAAACTACTCACACAGAAGAACGCAGCGTCCATACAAATTCGGAAAGATGAAACATTCAACTCGGATCGTAAACAAATCAACTTAATTCTAAACAAATCATTCAGATATTACAAACAGTAGTCATCGATTATTTTTCGACGCATTCGTATAAAGTTATATTTCCAAGATGGCAATGCCCGATTTAAAACAAAATTTTGAAAGATAAAGATTTTTGTCTTTAAATAAACAATTAACCTATCTTATTCATATTTGATCAGACAAAACTGTCAAGGGTACCCTAAATAGGGCATCGTCATCTTTGCATGGAGGGTCACTTGAAATTAGGCTTACAGTCCCTTTAATTTGACTTTTTCAGGGTTGGTTCCATGGACATGGTGTGTACAGTACTATAGATGGTATGAAGTATGAAGGTAATTATAGTTTATGTAATTCAGGTTCAAATTAGTTTAACCTATAGCTTGCAAATCAACTTGTCAACTCTATCCTGGTATTTTTGTCTAATACAGGGGNAGGGAAGTGTCAAGTGTGATATATGTCATTTGGTTCAACTTTTTAAAATTAAAACCTCAAACTTAGGGACGGCAATAAGCTTGAATAAAAAAAATAATTTAGGAAAATGTAAAAAAAATAATTTTAACAAAAATTACAATGTTTTGCATTGGGGGTCACTCGAAATAACGCTAACAGTCCCTATAAACTTTTCCCCCTCCTCGATGTACAGGGGAATTCCGAGGAGTAAAGATCTGGGGAAATGGTTTATTATTCCATCTATTCGCTGTACAGGGGAATTCCGAGGAGGGAAGATCTGGGGAAATGGTTTATTATTCCATCTACTCGCTGTACAGGGGAAATCCGAGGAGGGAAGATCTAGGGAAATGGTTTAATATTCCCCCTCCTCGCTGTAAAGGGGAATTCCTAGGAGGGAAGATCTGGGGAAATGGTTTAATATTCCCCCTCCTCGTTGTACAGGGGAATTCCGAGGAGGGAAGATCTGGGGAAATGGTTTAATGACTTACTCTGATGGAACGCCAAGCTCAGAAGGATACTTCCAGGAAACTAAATTCAGGTCAATTAAACTTTATTGATAAATAGCTGAAGTGCCCGGCGTTGCCTGAGGAATTTAAAAAATAGTGTTGAAAAAAATTGATTTTTGAAGAGACAAGAATTTGATATTTAGAGAGAAAAATCGAATTTTGTTATCCTATGTTATCCCAGTAGTCGCAGTAGTCTGTTTTTTTATATTTTTTATTCCATTCTTTATTGTCTATTTTATTCTCAAGTGTCAATTTTTTATTTAATATTTTATTGTATATTGTCTGTCTAATTTTAATTATATGTTCTATTCTGTATTGTCTATTTTACTTTGAATTGTCTGTTTTATTCTTAATTGTGTGTACCATTGATCTGATGTATATAAATTGTCTATTCTAATGTGTTATGTCTCTTTATTGTTTATTTTTAATATAATAATAATAATAATAATAATAAGAATGATAATAATAATCTTAATTGGTTTATGGTTTGTGAATAGACGGTGCTGTGATGAAATGGAGGGAACTTGTGAGGTCGGGATCAGAGTTGAGGTAAGATATAGTGGTCATACAGAGGTCGTACAGAGGTCGTACGTTGGTAAAATAGAGATCGTGTCTTGAAGAAGTCGTATGGATGCAGTGATATATGATCGATAGTTCGTACAAATTCGTATAAAGGTCATACATTGGTCGTACAGAAATCGTACAATGGTCATGCAGAAGTCGAACAGAAGTCGTACAGTTTGTCAAATAGAGCATAACAAATATCGTCTTTGATCATTGTATAATTATCTAATGGCGCAGTGTGGATTAATTTCTTTTCTCCGGTAATTTTAAAACAACATTTTGGAAAGAAGACATGGCTTATTTTGCGATTATTGTAAAAACAGGATTATCCAGAAAAGATGAGACTTAAGAGACGTCTTTACGATATTAATAAAGCTTTTTGAATAACCTGTCTTTTGATACTTGTTTCCCTATGACAAAGCATCAAGTAAATCAATGTAAAGCTATATGTAAGTCAACAGACCATAGTTAACCCTTCAGGTCGCTATATCTCATGGATTTTAGGTCATCATTAAAGTTATATTCTTTGTGGGTAACCCTGCAAATTTTTATTTTTTGTGGCACCCTGTAAAGTCTTATTTTTTGTTAGTAACCCTATAAAGTCTTATTTTTGTGGGTAACCCTGCAAAGTCTTATTTTTTGTGGGTAACCCTGCAAAGTCTTATTTTTGTGGGTAACCCTGCAAAGTCTTATTTTTTTTTGGGTAACCCTGTAAACTCATGTTTGTAAAATTTTGATGGCACATGAATGCCCTAATTTATTTTAAATATCAATAAACGACCATCAAGTCATCTGAGTATATAAAAAGTGATTAATATATTTTTAAAAATTGATTTTAATTTTGTTTTTCAGCTTGCATCCATTGATCAGCCTGTGTAAGGGAAACTAAGAGTGGACAGAAGAAATATGATTTAATCAGCAAATTATCAAATTATCAGAAGAAATATGAATTAATCAGCAAATTATCAAATTGGTTTTGATAACGAATAGTTTTTATTTGAAATTTAATTCCTCGTTATGTGAATTAGAAAACATCTGTCATGTATTTTGTTAATTTTCAATTATAGTTTAAAAAATTTTAAAATAAAAAATTTACATTTTTTTATTTCGTAATAACCCCCCCCCCCTTTCTCAATCATTTTAAAGGTGGATGTGAAACAAAAATAAGAAGTTTGTAAGGGAAATGGGAAGGGAAGAATAAAATGAGGAAGGAAAGGGAAGAATAAAAAGAGGAAGGAAAGAGAAGAATTAAATGAGAAAGGGAGAGGAGTAAGAAAGGAAGGAAAAGGGGGTTGAAAGGGATAGGGAAGAGGGATGAATAAGGAAAGGAAAAGGAAGGGGTTGAAAGGGATCGGAAAAAGGGGTGAGGATGGAAAGGGAAAGGGGATTGAAAGGGATAGGGAAGAGGTATTAAGAAGGAAAGGGAAAGGAAGGGGCATTAAAGAGATTCTCGAGTGGATTAAATTATGTTGAAATAATAAAAGAATATATACAAAGACGATGGGAGGAAAGTTGGAATAAAAACGAAAGAGGCCGGATAGAGAGGGACCTGTGCCCCCTAAAACCTACTCCCTCCTCCAAAAAACATCTGCCCCCCGAATCAGCCTTTTCCGCCTTCCCCCAGAAACTTTGCTTCCCACTAAACTTTTGGCTACCCCTGAAATCTTTGTATCCCTCCTAAAGCTAACCCCTTCAAACCTTTGGCTCCCCTCTAACTCTTAAAATCTTGCTCCAATTGATATATTTCGCTCCCCCCTTTGTCTTTTACCGTAAAACCTATATTCTTTGCCTCTTTCACCCCCTAAAAAATCGTTGTCCCTCTTAAGCCTTCCCCCCCCCCCATCCATCTGACAGCTGGGCAAAGAATGCCTTATCTTGAATTCTAAATGTATCGGAGAATGGCCAGGATCAGGAAAACTAAGCTAGGGGAAATATTTATAAATAAAATAGACTATTCACGGTGGACTAATGTCAATTCAAATTCGTACCACGCAGACTAACTCCTTGTACAGGCCTTAGTGACTTGCGGCATGTACTGGCCTGACCGTATGTTGCAACCCAGTTTCAACTTTGATGACGCGGCCAGACTTTGTACAGAACCCGGCCTAGCATTGGCCTATTTACCATATCCCACACTAGCTTAGTTTAGTGGTGTATATGTTGTTTCAGTCCTTGCAAATGTAAAATTTCCAGATTTACAACGGTACCCTTGAAATAATAATAATTATAATAATAATGATAATAATAATAATATACACTGTATAATGATTTACGAGTTTCTAACCTATTTTTACCCATTTTCTCTCCCTGGCTATCTTTCCGGTACATTAACTACACTGAGAGCTTAGACCAATGTGAACAAGAGAAATGGGAGCGGTGTGGGGGGGAGGACATAGAAAGGGAAGGGTATATGAAAAGGGTGGTTTAAAGAGGGGGGGGGGGGCACTGTAAATTAAGGGTCCTGAGGTCAAATTTAAAGAATTTAAGCCGCGGCTTAAATTTAAGCTGCGGTTTAAATATGGTTTGTTCCACTTGGAATTGTATTAAATTTTTCAAAATTGAAGCCAGCGCTCGATTGAATCGATTTTTGGGGGGATTTTGGGATTTATTAAATTCGGACACTGGTAAACAGTCAGTGAATCTTAACTTTCAACCCCATTTTTAAATATTATATGAAGTTTTTCGTTGAAAACGAATATTCACCAGGAATCTTTTGTTTACATAAATTGTGTCTACGTTCGTTGAAAACAAGCAGTACAAGTTTATGTAAACAAATAAATGGGGATTCCTTAAAAACATTCTGCTTCCCCCCTCCTGAAAAAATATCAAACTGAAAGCAAAGAAAACATAAAAAAAATCTAAAAAGAAAAGTATTTTTTATTTTTCTTTAAAGACAAATGATGACAAGGTATTAATGGAACTGTTGACATCAGAGTATCAGATATAAATGATGATGAGGATAACACAGGGTGATTCATAAAACACGTAAATATATTAGGAGTATACAGGGTGATTCATAAAGCATGTAAATATTGGGAAAATACCGGGTTATTCATAATGCATGTAAATATTGGGAGAATACAGGGTGATTCATAAAACATGTCAATTTCAAGAGAATACAGGATGATTCAGAATACATGTACATGTACAATCATAATAATTGGGAGAACACAGGGCGATAAGAATACAGGTAAAATTTGGAGATCTGGAGAATACAGGGTGATAAAGAATATATGCTAATACAGATGGTACAGTACATGGGGTACAGCCAGCATGTTAATATCAAATGTACAGTACATACATGGGATACAGACAGAATGTCATTATAAAAAATAGAGTACATGGGGTACAGTACAGTACAGTACAGTACAGTACAGTACAGTACATGGGATACAGACAGAATGTCATTATAAAAAATAGAGTACATGGGGTATAGTACAGTACAGTACAGTACAGTACAGATAGTACAGTACAGTACAGGGGGTACAAACAGCATGTCAATATAAAAAATAATAACAAAACTATTTTAATAAATATCATAGAAGTATTATTGATTATAATTATTTTGTCAATAATAATAATGGAAATAGTTTTCTTGGCAACTCTCCGTAACAAATGTGTTTCCAATATCAATATATAGGAGAAAAATCCATAGAGCTAAGAAGGTTTTCATAATAGGAAAGGAAATCGAGCCAATTTGCAAATCGAATATTTAGGAGATCCTCACATATGGAGCATCAAATAAGGAAAAGCAATAATGGACATTTTATAGAGCTTATAGTTATAGAGTTCATGGAGCAAATGAGTTAATATAAAATAGAGGAAATCGAACCAAATTGCTAAATTAATATAAAAATGAAAAACCCTACTACTGAGTGAAGACGAATCAAAACAAATGAAGAAAACAAACTATAAAGCCTTTAAAAAGTTCCCAGAAAACGTGATTAAAAAGAGTTTTTTGACAATAAAAATATATAACCCTCCCCACTGTTTTTAGCCAAGAAAGCGGGTTTGATCTTTTTGTACGGTGGTAAGCGATTATATCACTATAATGAAGACGACTTTTTATACAAATTTTACGAATTACAAGTTTACAAGTAATCTAAGAGAAGCTTTTTTAATTGATAAATTCTCTTGACTTATATGTTATTGTATATCCATGCTGTTTAACAGCTTAATTAAAATCAAAATTGAATTCATGAAAGTCATCTTCATTGTATTGATATAATCGCCTACCACTGTACATAACAGAAGTTTGAAGTTATTGCGAAGGCTAAATTAGACAATTTACGGTAAAACTGTGAACCTTCATCATTTCTTAATCCTTAATGCTTTCTATAATATTTTCCAATTATATTGACAAAAAGAAAATATTAACATGATATTTTAAATCAAAAGGAGAGCTATAAACTAAAACGCACAAAACCAAAGGGAATAGAATATATATTCAAGGGGAATTTACTAGAAAAAAGTGTAAAACGGCCATTTTGTTG